TCACTTCAGAGACCCCAGCTCACCTCAGAGCTCCCCAGCTCACTGCAGAGCCCCAGCTTACCTCAGAGCCCCCCAGCTCACTGCAGAGCCCCCAGCTCATTGTGGAGCCCCAGCTCACCTCAGAGCCCCCCAGCTCCTCACAGAGCCCCCAGCTCACCAGCATCCCACCAGCCTCCTGCTAGCTCCACACCGGCACAAACACCAATGACTGGGCCTGCAGCCCAACTGCACAAAGGATTTGGGTTTGAGAACTCTCAGTGTTTACCTTTCTTCCCTGCAAGATGCAGCCCCATATACACTGAGAGAAGACCAAACTGTTTTGTTTAAAACACTATTGAGGGGCTGGTGAGATGGCTCAGTGGTCTAAAGCACCAACTTAGAACAAGCTCAGCAAAGCACAAGGACCGTGGTTCAATCCCCCAGCACCACATGCCAGCCAGCCCCACCCCCTGGTGGGCTGAGCTGGCCACACACACACACACACACAAATAAATAAATAAATAAATAAATAAATAAATAAATAAATAAATAAAAATTAAAAAAAAAACACTATTGAGAGTTGTTGATCATTAGAAAATAAAACTGCGCCACTCACGGCAACCCCCTCCCGGGGTCTGAGTGCTCTCAGACATTAAAGCCTGGAGCTGTGGCCGTGAAGTTGACTGCTGTGTGCAGGAGCAAGTGCGGATGGCTTGCCTGCGTCTTCTAGGGCAGCAACAGTGAGGACTGGAGTGGAAGCGCATATGCCATTGTACTAGAAAGCAGCTCTGCTTCATTCCTACTATGAGCTATTTGTGCTTGACTCCTGCAGGCAGAGTACTCTGGATTCTAAGCGTTGTGCGTGGGGTGGGCTATGGGCTCCATCTCAGTACAGCATCACGTGGTTCTTGGTGCAGAAAGGGCACTGGTTTTGCAAGGAAGGGCTTCAGTGGATGATGGGAAGTCACCCCAAAAGCACATCGGGACCTCTTCTGGTTCTCGCCAGCGTGTGGGCCCTGGGTGGGTGTGGTTTCCAGGATCAGAAAGATGCGGCTTTGGGGAAGACAGTGAGTGAGCAGGGCACGGAGCCTGGTGCAGAGACTGAGTCTGACCCTCACCGGCTGCCTCTCGGTGTTGAAACCTGGCAGACTTCCAGGTCTTCGCTTCCCTATTGTGAACGGAGCCCCGAAGCAGCCTGGATCACCCCACAGTGTGTCTTTGCTGCGCAGGGCCCGCCCTCAGGGGAACCGACCCCTGCCCTGCCTACAAGGCAGGTGTGAGGCAGAAGTGGACTGGCAGCCCCACCGGTCTGCACTCGGAGGTCAGCTGGTGGGGACTGTGCTCTGAACTCCATTTCAGTTCGGCCCTGGGCAATGGCAGCTCCAATGCTCCCGCCTCTTGGGGCCCAAGGCTGACCCGCGTCACTGAGAGACAGTTCTGGAACTCTGTGTTCTCAGCAGATGTGCACCACTGTGAGTTTCCTTCCTGCGCGCCACCCCATACACACATGTGCATACACACACTTCCTCCCAGCCCCTGCCCCTCTTCACTGGCCTCAGGGATGGGAGGGGAGTACTTGGGGTCCCACTGAGACTCCCCAGGGAGCATCCCAGACAGAGAGTCAGAGTCCCATCCTATGCAGAGGAGTTGCCGCCTCCTTCTAGGGCCCACGTGGCCATGGGGAGAGAAGTGACTCGGAGAATTCTGGGGGCCTCACTGGCCCAGGCCGGGCTCCATCCCCGGAGAGGGTGAGAAAAGTGGTTCCGCAGCCTGGACAGCAGGACGGAGAGGCTGAGGCCCAGGGGAGATGGTGACTCCCGCCTTCCCTTCTGGTCAGTGTGCGGAGGGCATCTGGGGACTTGCTGGAGCTCACGACGGGTCACAGAGGTGGAAGGCTGGGGCAGTGTGCTCGGGGTCAGGCATCACGCTGGACATCTTGAATGGACACGTTTCCTTCAGCTTTAGTCAATGGAAAGTTATAAATGGGGAGTTAATGTATTTTTGAAAGCAAAATGAAGGAAAGAGCATCTGCGCGTTGGAGGAGAGGCGTAAGGGCCCTCGAGCGAGGCAGCCCGGGACCTGCGGTGGGGCTCTGGGCCACACAGCTGTGTTCAGGTTGCTGGCTGCATGCACACCCTCTCTGGGCCCCATTTCTCATCTGTAAATGGGGTCCTAGCCTTGCTCGGAGCAAGGCCTGCCCACTGAGCCATGGCTGGGTGCAGGACACGATGTGTGTCACACACCGGTGCAGCAGCTGCTCAGGAGCACAGTGGGGATTGGCCTGCAGCTCCTTGGGGACCTGGTGCTAGGGCAGGAAGTGTGCTGGGACCCCTGTGGCCAACCTGGTACTTTCTGTAGACTGCGGCAGTCAGCAAAGGCCCCTGGTGGGGCTCAGAGGGCCCAGCCACTGCACCTGACCACCCCAGGAGGACTCCATTGGCCCCGGGCCCTTCTGGTGGAGTGACCCTTCCTGTGAGTCTCCCTGGAGAGCCCATGTGTCATTGTCACGGGGCAGTCAGGGTCTTCCGGAGGCAGCCTGAGTCAGAAGCAAGGAATTCCTAGAAGTAGCCAAAGTGCCGACTCCTTAGGATGTGAAGGGGCAGTGGCTGCCTGCCTAGCTACCTCAGAGCCACACAGTCAGTGGCCAGGGACCAGCAGCTAGCAGACCAGCAAGCCCAGCGTCCTGACCCCCAAGTACCAGGCTATAGAGAGCCCTTCCTAGTCCTCCTCTTGGTCCAGGAAGTTTATATTTGTAATCTCATGGGTAAGTTATTGGAATCACATCAAATTAAGTCCAATCTACCACTTCCAGTGCAACCCATGGAGAGAATAAAGACACTAAGGCATATTTGTCATAATGGGGAGTCAGGGGGTCCTTAGCTCAGCCATGGCGATGGCTGCCCAGAACAAAGGCCTCGACCCAGGGCTGAGCCCGGGTTTCATTCAGCCGTGGAGGAAGAGTGGTCTGAGGATGAGTGGCTGAGAGTGGCGGGAAGTAGGTGAGTGCTGTGGGCTGGGCTGGGGAGGAGGCTGCACTTACATATGGAGAGAAATCGGCATGACACGACTGAGATGGCACCTCGTGTTTTGGGGTGCTTCAGTCTGATGCGTAATCTTTCGAGCCCCAGGAAGTCACAGCCTCTGTCCCGAGGCTGGATCCCAGCCAATAGTGTGGAGCCCTGGCCCTCCATCCTGTCTTGACTGGGCTCACACTGGAGAGCAGCAGGTGGGGTTCCAGGGAAACACGCATGCCGTCTTCAAAGACTGCTGCCTGGCTGGACCAATGTGTACTGCTGAAAGCCACCTGAAGGGATAGGGAGAAGTCCTAGCCGGCTCTGCGCCTATCAAAACATGAAAATAGGGCCAGGCCCAGCCACATGGGGACAGCTGCTCTTCTTTCAAGCAGAGTCGCCCAGGTGGTCCTCCATATGAGGCTCCACTTGGGTTTGCCGGAGGGAGAGAGGGCTCAGGCTGAGACGGGAGGGTTCTGTCACATGGACCTTTCTTAGGGCCCCAGCCAGGAGGTCCTCTGGTTGAAGGCCTCTGAGGGCAGCCAGCACTTTCCCGGGGTGCCCAGCTTCCCTGCCTGTGGACCCAAGCTTGCACCCACCCATCAGGCTCTGCACTCCCCACGAGCCACTGCCTGTGCCTGAGGTGGGTAGCCAAGGGTGCCATGGGTCAGGCCTGGAAGGGACAGCAGGGAACTGGCCCTTGGCAGTGCTGAGGAAGGTGGCAACAGGCATCCACAGTGGTCACAGCAGCAGCAGGAGCAACAGGGTGGGTCTGTCAATGAACTAGAGATGTAAGAGGAAGAGGTGGCAGCTCAGCAGAGGGGCTCGTGGGGTTCAGGCAGGGAGGAGGGCACCATCCAGGGAGGAGGATGAGCAGCTGCTGTAAACTGAGGCAGTACCTAGGAAGCAGCTGCTCCAGGATGGCTGGGGATTACAAACCCAGGTACAGAGTGTGCTGGCTTGCTCTTGGCAGCAGGGACACTCGGAGAAGCCTGACCCCGTGTCCCTGCCCCTCAGTCAAAGTGCAGTAGGGCACATGGGCTGAGGATTTGCAGCCAGGCCCTCGGCAGGTCAGGGTGTGAGCTTGGCTGGATTTATTGGGCACCGCTGCATTTCCTGTGCCAGGCTTTGGAACTCAGTGAATAGGCCCCTGCCCTGGGGGCAGCAGCCCTAGGGCGGGACAAAAGCACTGCCTTCCACCCTTGGAGTGTTGTCTGGGGTTGAAGTAAGATGCTGGAACACAGAGCACCAGGCAGGGCCCCGCACCAGTGCGCAGTAACGCGTGTTAGTTGGTTTCTGCTCCAGCAGCCCAGGAGCAGAGGACCCTCATGGCCGTCACAGCACCAGCGTGCCCTGGCTGTACTTCCAGCATGCTTAGGCCACTGTGGGGGCTGTCATGTGGGTGCCCAGCATCTGTCCTTGCTGGGCATCCACTGAGGCCCGGAACCACCTGCAGTGGCCCGGACACAGAAACAGACCGTGCCCTGGGGCACAGTCCTAGGCTCCCAAAGCACCTGCCTGCCATGGTCCCCTGGATACCTCCCCCTGCCACCCAGGTCTTGCCCAAGCCCAAGCTCTCGTCCTCTGGTCTTTGGCTCTAGCCTTGGTGCTCCTGTGACCCCAGTCTCATGCGGCGAGGACATGTGTGGAGCTGCCCTGATAGCCAATAGGCACTCAAGGTCACGGGTCCCAAAAGCCCTCCGATTGCCAGCCGGAAGCTACTCCCCCAGCCCTCTGCACCCACGTCAGCCTGGGCCATAGCAGCAGACCCCACGCCCCTTGGCGTTCCTCTTGTTGCTGTCCCCCACCGGCCACCAACCTGCTCTGCCAGAACTCCTCCTCTGAGGAACTTTCTCCAGAGCGCCCGAGCTCAGTGTCTCACACCAGCCGTCACCCCGCCTGCTGACTGCTTGTCCTGCTTCTGCTTTGGCTTCTGGTCTCAGTCAGCCTCTCACTGTAGGTTCCGTACCTGCAGATCAGCAGCATCTGTCCTGGACAGATAGAGGCTCCTGTCCTCATTAGCACGCTCTGAGCAGCACGACGTGGCCACCACAGGGTGCTATGTCCTGTGAGTGTTGTAAGTCATCTGGGGATGGCTCCAGCATCAGTGAGCTCAAATGCTACAGCACTTCAGAGGAGGATGGGTGCTTCCTCGGGTCTTGGGCCCCGAGATAGGCTCTGGAACCTGTCCCCATGGACACCAAAGGGGTACATGCCCAGCAACACCGATAAACACAAACCCGCCCTCCTCCTGCCCAGCCACTCAGCAGCGCCTGCCTTGCAAGGCCCAGCAAGGCCAATCCATCACCGCCTGCAGTTCCTTCACCATGCCAACTGCTGTGCCTGGCCCCACCCCCGTGTGCAGGGGCTCAGTGCAACAGGTCACCAGGCTGCAGCCCCAGGACCACCGCCATGGATGTGCGCTGCATGCTCGATGCTGTCCTTACTCCTTGTGCCCTAGCAGCCTCCTCCCCACACCCAGAAGGCTCTGCTTGGCACCTAATTCCAAGTGTCCTTTGTGTCACCTTCCACTCGGGGGTGAGGGGGAAGGGCTGCCTTGCCAGGCCACTTATCCACAAGCCCATCCCACCTGTGGTGTACTGTGCCCCTGGCCTCTGCCCCTGCAATGTGGATCCCAGTCTGTGTGTACCATGGTGACAGCAACATGTCCCTGCCACCTGCCTCCTGCCTGCTCACCTCCTTGTCCTGCACATAGTAGGGCTGCAAGGATGAGGCTTCACAATCCCCTGCCCTACCTGCTCCAATACTTGCTGAAGCCCCTGTGGCAGTGCCCGTCCTGTGTCGAGGAGGAGCTTGGCACCCTAACAGGCCTGGAAGTGAGCCCCACCTCCCTCCTGCCCTGGCACAGCTGACGCCCGGTGCTGAGGTTTTCACTGTTCAGAGGCACACATGGGGTGCAGCCCACAGGACAGGAGTCAGGGTCCTCTGATAAAGTTGATGGCAGAGACCAAGCACGCATGAAGGACATTGTCCTGAAGGACATTTCCTGTGCTGAAACCAAGCCCCTGAGGGGACAGAGTGAGGAGATGGCATCTGTAGGGAGGCTCCTGGTGAGTGGGGTCAGTGCCCTAATCAGCAGGACCCAGAGGGACTCTAGAGGCTTCTGCAGCATGAGGACTCTTTGCAGACACCCTGATCTCGGACCCCACAACTCCAGAATGGTGAGAATGAACACCTGCATCCAGCATCCTGGGTCGGGACAGTGTGGCCACACCCTCCTCCCTGACGCCCTGGGGAAGAGCAGAGATGGCTCCCTGAAGAGCCATGGGATGGGAGCAGGCTACAAAACAGCAGGGGTCCCACTGTAGGAAAGGCCAGGAAAGGGAGCCGAGAGTGTCACCAAGAGGAACTTCAGGTGACTACCGAGCCAGGTCTGCACCACAAGAGGACTGCAGAGACACAGGCGCTGCTGACAGTCAGGGGCAGGACTGCTGCACCTCTGGGTCAGCAAGGCCACTGTCCCAACAGCTCCACTGAGGCCCTTCTGAGCTGTGATGCCGCCGTGGGGTCCATCTCCTCCTCAAAGACAGGTGCCCAGCCTCCTCCTGGGGCCCAAGAGTCAGCCAGGCCTGGAGCGCAGGCTGCTCCGCTGGTGTGGGGTGACGAGTGGGTGAGCCTCCCTCGCCCATGCCCAGGAAAGGGGCGCAAGCTTGGCACATGCCCATCGGTATAGATGTTCTCCCTGAGCTCCCTGATGTCATGCCCACCCCATTGTGACAAGCTGATCCCGAGCTTGTGTTACCAGCCGCCAGCTTACGTGCAAGCAGAGTGGTGACTCAGCTGGCAGGCACACAGCAGGCAGAGCCAGCATTCGAAGCTGGGTCTGCGGGACCCAAGCCTGGGCCTCCCGGCCCCTCTCCGGCACAAGGACACCTCAAAAGTGCTCAGTGCTGGCCTGGCCTTGGGAAAGTTCCTGTGTTGAGTGCATTAGTCTCCCTGGGATAAGGCTTACTCTATGCCTCCATACACCAGGCAGCCTAGCCCCAGTGAAGTCATGCCCTTGCCCGTCCAGCAGCCAAGTGTCAGAGGGTGTCCAAGCCTGGGTCTGCTTGGATTCCTTGGCTCCTGGGAGCTGTCCGGGCCATCAGGAGCGAAGCTGCGCTCCTCCTGTCATGGACCTGCCGGCCCAGCAGTGTCCAGCTTTACCAACAATAGCTAGCTCACCTTTCCTGTGACCAAGGCCGGGGCTACCAGCAGCCCTGCCACCAGCCACAGCTTGAGTACCAGCCCTGTCCTGCCAGCCAGGCTGAGAGCTCAGCCCACACCGGGTGGGTAGCTGCAATCGCGGACTCTCGAGCCTGAGTTCTTAGGCTTAAATTGAGGCTGCTTACTGGCCTCGTGATCTTCACATCTCTGTTCCTGCAGCTTCACCTTCCTCCTCCAAAAGACAGGGTTAAAGATAGAGACTTCCATCCCTTTTCCACATTTAAGGGGGAAAGCAGGCTCAGAGCCGGAGGAAGATTTGCTTCCCCTTCCGATAGGCCTGCTGAGCGCAGTCTCCTGGAAGGCGGAGGGGTTGGCTCTGCTCTGAGGGCCAGTCGGTGGACATGGCGCAGTCTGAGGCGCCTCACACCTCAAGCTGTGAGAGCTGGCGATGCAGTAGACGTCTTCCTGGGGAGAAACTATGGGTGGGAACGTGGAGAGCAGACGCTCGGCACAGCAGGGCCGCTCGCTCGGCAGGAGGCCCAGACCCTCTGCCTCCTCCTGGGTGACCTGGAGATCACCTTTCTTTCAGGAGCCTGTCTCCTCAGCCAGACATCCAGAGGGGCCCTGTCAGCGCACACCCTGGAAGAGGCGGCACGGCCACGGCCACGGCAGCACCAGCGCCCGCAGGAGGCAGGCTCCGCTCGCAGGCTTCTCGGGCACCCACAGCTTGCACGAGTCCTTGCACAGTGCCCGCCAGGCTCCCCCGAGCCACAGCTTCATCTTCCTCTTCAAAGCTGCACCTCCAGGTTCCAGTTCAACACCTGCCCAGATTCAAGGCCCAGGCAGTACGGGGTCATGCTCACTGGGCGGGCGAGTCAGCCCTCGTGCCTGTTCCCCTCCGGCCTGTCTGCTCAGCTGCCCTTTGGGTGAGCTTCCCTCCCTACTCTGCACCCTAGCAGACCAGGGACCGGGAGCTTTCTGTGGAGCAGGCACTCCCTCTCTGGGCCACACCAGCCCCAGCCTGCCAGCCTCCCTTTGTATGGTGGACATGCTTTCATTTTTACCTTCCTCAGCCCATGTCTGTGGTGCGTGATGTTCACCGTCGTCGTGTGGGGTAGGTGCGCGGCCACGGCACTTCTTAGCCTTTCGCCCCTTTTCTCTTGCCCCTTGCCCCCCCGCCCCCCTCAGTCTCCTT